AGGGACACAAGAAAGAAGCTGGGACCCAAAAATACAAATGCTGGAGTCATAAGAAATAGCTTTTTGAGAACTGGCAAGAGAATGAATGAGACCATCCAGTCAGAGAACTGAGAAGAATCAGAGAAGTGGACCCAGCCCTGAGCCCTGGAGAACTTGGCAACTAAAGGCTGCATCACAGGAGCAGGGGAACAAATAAAAACGAAACCAAGAAGAAACGGTTAAAGGGAAAAGGAAAAGGTGAAAAGCCAGAAGTGTGTCACCTTGGAGTATCTTGACATTTTGGCACCAAAACCAAGAAAGAAGAGGGTTTTCAGAAGGAAAAGCTCGAGCGCTGAATGCTGCTGAGAGGCTGAGACACAAAGGCAGAGTCTCAGCGAACGGGGCCAGGGTGTCGCTGGCCTTCACGAGAACAGTCTAAGACGCACCTCAAGGTTAACATGTGCAAATCCCAACTTGAGAACTTGCCTTGGAAGATCCTTAGTTTGCTGTTCTTGTGGAAAACTGTACCTTTCTAGCCTTCAGTCCAACACCCCTCTCTTTCTTTCCATTCCCACCTCCAATCCACCAGCATAGCCTGCTGGCTCAACTTAAAAATATATCCTGAATCTGACACGTCTCACCACGTCTCCAGCTATTAGGCTGGCACATCTCCCCTGGATTGTTACAGCATCCTCCTACCTCATCTCCCCACGCCCAGCAGGAATACTTCCTCCCTGCAGGAACACTGTGCTACGCCAGTCAGTGGTCCTCTTCAAAGGAAGGCTGCTGGCATCGTAGGGCTGTCAGACCCTGTGCGGTCTGCTCCCACACACCAACCTCCTCCCTCCGCTCCCACCAAGACTTGTTTCCCCTCCTCCTACTCCCCTGGGATTCGGGCTCCAGCCTCGATAGCCTCCTGGCTCCTGTCAGCATTTCTGCACTTGCAGCTCCCTCTGTTGGGAGTGTCTGGCTTCAAATACCACACAGCTCACTCTCAACTCTCCGGGTTTTGCTTACCTTCCAGGGAGGAGTTCCCTGGCCACATTTTAAGTCATCTCCTCCAGGCCCCTCCTCTGCCAACTATTTTATAGCACTTACAACCATTTGACTTATTATATATTTTGCTTTGTTTGTTTATGTAAGGGCTATGTCTCTCCTGCCTTGCAAATCTCTGAGGTTCACGTTTATTTCCTCAGTACCTGAAACCATGCCTGGCATTCAAGAACTACTTCTTGACAAAGGGGTGGTGGGAACAGTGAGCTACAATAAACTAGGGGATAATGGGAGTGAGGGAATGCAGCCAGTGTGCGTCCGAAGGTTGCTGTGAGGGAGCAGAGACGCAGTACAGCAACCAGGAGGGATATGAAAGTAAAAGAGGAAATGTTTTTAATGAATATGAGTTCAGAAACCTAATGGCACTTTGTATGCTACTATATCCAGACTCAAAGGTTGGTTTGTAATACTACAGTTGAGAGCTAATATGCCTCTTCAGTAACAAGATTAATCCAAGGATCATACAATTAATTGATCAGAATAGACAAGAGAGAATTGTCTGCTTTGTGCCATGGATTAGATAAAGAACAGCCCTGCTTGCAAGGAGCTCAGACTCCAGCCACTACCATGGACAGTGATGACGCTGCTTCCCTTAGGAATGGTCTCACAGCATGCTGAAGTGTTATTCTGCTTCTCTAGCTCCTACGTCCAAGCTAAACGGAAGCTTAGAGAAGTTAAATAATTTGCCTGAGCTCACATCACTAATAAGCAGTGGATCTGGCATTTAAATCCAGGTCTCTTTGGAAAGACTCTATGTTAAATGTGGGTTAAAATTCACACCAGAATACATGTATTGCATGTACTTTTCAATAAAAAATTAGAAAACAAATAAATTTTCTAACTTGGTCCTTTATAATAAAATCCTAAAATAAGTGTTGGAAGGAATGTGGATAATGTTCCATGTATGTCAGAAGCCTGAGAATGAGCAAGAGTGAATGAGCAGGGACAAAGCAAATAAACAGAGGAACTGAAACAATGCTACACTCACTTGAGTGAGTACTAGACTCCCCTGGGCATCAATGCCAAGGTGCAGGGCCGGGAAACATCCAGCCCTTTTGTTTGGTTTCCTTTTTTCTCTCAAGCCTGTGGGCTATTTTGTCTGTTAAGCTCTCACCAAAGCTTAACAGGCAGAGCTCTAGAGCAACCCCCAAGGAGATCTTGCTCCCAGCATATGTCATCAGTTGGGTTCAAATAAACTCATAAAAATTATTTTTAAAATAAACTCTAAAAAATAAATAAATAAATAAAGTAAAACCCCCCCTCCACCCAGATGCCCACCACCTGGTGAACATGCCCGCAGAACCCTCTGCCTGCCTTTGATCGTGGGAGGGACCTGTGAATAAAATGGGACATCACCACCTCCTGTTCCACGGCAAAGGTGTTGGGATAGTCACTCCTGTAAAGATGACATTGTGTTACAAGTAGCAGACTGAAGGGATGGTCTCCCTCTGCCACCTGTGAGAGGGTTGCCATGTGGCTTACAACTTCAGGGTGGCCTCTTCAAGCTGAGGGGGACCCCAGCTAACAGCAAGAAAAAGGGGACCGCGGTCCGGCAACGGTGAGAAACAATTCTGCCAACAACCTCAATGCTGGCAGAGGACCTCGAGCCTCCGCCAAGGCTCCACCTGTGGTCAATCCCTTGACTTCAGCCTGCTGGGACTCTGGACAGAGACAGCCAGGCAAACCCACGTCCCAGCTCCTGGCGGGTGGAAACCACAAGGTTTCTACTGGTTTCTGGCTATTGTGTTAAGCTGCTAAACTTATGGTAATTTGTAACAGTAGCAGAAAAACTAAAACACAAGCCGATACTCATCCCTTACACAGACGCTGTTAGAGGAGACCTAACAGTGGCTGTGACTTCGCATTGCCCCAAGGGTAATAATAGAAAAAATGTCTAATTCTGAGTTGTCCTAATCCTTGTTCTTTCAAACCTGCATGCCTTTTCACTTGCCATTACAGATGAATTCCTATTCAAACTTCAACACCCAGGTCAAAGGTTGCTTCTTCAAAGAAGCATTTCCTTACAGCCAACCCCATGCACTCCCCAGTAGAACAAATTACTTCTATTTGCTTCCAAGGCAGCCGCTTGTCTGCACATCTAGAAAACACTTGCCATGATTCATGGTGATGCTTGTCCCCCTCCCAGCCCCCAACAGTGAATGCTCAGGGCAGAGCTGCCCCAGTCTCCTGCACAGCACCTGGCCTATCGTGGCTGAAAACAGTTGGCTATCCAGAGAAGAAAATGAGGCTGGAGATTAGCACAGGCTTCTGATGTCAGGGAGCTGCTGTTTCTTTTCCACACAGATGATCAGGCCTCAGGTATTAATAGAAACTCAGAAAGCTTCTCCATGACAACAGCTGGGTGACGAACCTAGCACAGACCGCATCACATGGGTGGGTATTTACTGTCTCCACAGAGCTGGATAGGCATGCTGGAAGCTGGGAAGGTTTTAAACTCTCCCCACAAGGCATGAGGCCCTGTCTGAGTTGTTCCGGTTCAAGCCCTGTGCTAGGCTGGTATGCTTGCTGAGTCACATCATCCATGTTAACCCATTCCTAAAATCAAATGTCAGCCTAAATAGACAATCACCCCACAGAGTTAGTTTTTCTCAATGGCTTCAAACTATGGACATCAAGCCAGACGTGAGAATCATGGGTGAACAATACCCACGGCATCCACAGGATCCCAAGGCAGAAAGCACTTTCAGGAAATTAAAAGCTCAGGCAACATTATGCATCATCAGTCCACAGGGACTGGCATCTGTTGTGGGGTGGTGTGTGTTATATATATTTTTTAATTGTATTTTTTTCCATTACCCTTTATCCCCTTACCACTCCCCACCATGTGTGTTTTGACAAAACACAGGGAAAGAATTCGAGTTTTTCCTTAGGACCCACTCCGTGGGTGAACACCTGTAGTGCCGCTGCAGCTAACCTGCACTGACCATGTTACTGCTCTAGGGCCCCACCTGAGCAGAAGAGGAGATTGTTCCCATGCAGAGAGGACACACAGCAAGGCATGGCAACAAGGGGCCTGCTCATAAGAGCCGCTGTGCACCAGCTCCTCAGAGCTGCCTTCAGATTCTCTCTATAGATAAATTATTAAACAACAGAGTGCTGCTTTTTTTTTAAATCCTCACCCAAGGATATGTTCATTGATTTGAGAGGGAAAGGAAGGAAGAGAGAAGGAGGAGGAAGAGGGGAGAGAGAGAGAGAGAGAGAGAGAGAGAGAATCACCAATCAGTTGCCTCCCTCACGAGTCCTGACCAGGAATCAACCCCACGGCCTAGGTATGTGCCTTCACTGCAGATTAAGCCTGCAGATTTTTCGTGTACAGGACGATGTTCCAACCAACTGGGCCGCCCAGCTAGTGCCAAAGTGCTGCTTGTTAATGAAAGTATTACAACCACATCCACAGAAAGTTAGAAAACTTCTGGTAGGGAATGGACTGGCTCCGTGAAAGCAAGTTAATTAACATTTGTTATATTTTTTCAACAGTTTATGACATAAACTCTTAATGTCAGTATCTATTTTGGCTCTTTTGGATCTTACATGAAGTCATCCCTAAGATTCAAATCAGATCCTATGCATCTACATTTTGAGGATCTTTTTCAATTCCTTTCCAACAGCAACTCAAGGACACAGCCAGCTGGGGACACACTTTCCCAAAGATCAGTATGGGAGAAGAAGTGGGGCTGGGTTCTAATCTGTAGACATAACACTAGATTCTCCTTCCTGCACTCAATAAACATGGAAATACCAGGCATTGCGCTGGGTGCTAGGCCTACAGCTGCCAATTAGACAGAAAAGGTCCCTGCTCTCACAGGACTTACATGCTCATAAGGATGTATATACTGTGTAGGGTGAGAAGAAAGGGAAAACAGAGAGAGGAAGTAGCTTTTCTTCACTATGTATTAATTACTTTAAATACTAATGGAAATTTCAAAGTGGCAGAACATGGTAAATACCTTCGATGCTCTGTGGGCCCACGAGGTTCATGGCCTGGTGAGCTGGGTACTCTACCCGTGGCCTGGCAATGCCCAGCTGCTCCATAACGCCGTGGAGCAGCCTTTGGATGTCTGTTTCGGAGACCCGGTCAGGGGTTCTTGGGCTATACGCAGAGGTTGCAGCCCACCCAAATGTCAGCCAAAACATTAGGCCAGATAGCATGGTGCAGACCACCCTGGAGACCATTTTTACCTGCAGAAGTAAGACCAAATTATATCGATGGGCCACAGTTGGCAACTGTGATGATGCAGTCACACAAGGGACTAATTCGAGAACCACCCAGAAAGGGATGGCACACCTAAGGGCTTGCTTTTGCTTTAAATACCTACTGTAGCCGGGACACCTGCTGTGGGAAGGTGTTAAAAACAACAAAACAACAAAGCTGGAGAGAGCCAATTCCTTCTGTCCTTTCACTGGGGGGAAGACCGGGCTGGAACAGCAGTTCTCACCAGTTTCTATCCTCTTTGCAGCAACCTGGAAGTTATGCATCACCCATAACCCCACCACTCTCCTCCTTTCTTACCAAAACAAACAACAATAACAACAAAAACTGGTTTCAATTTTGAGGAAGGGAGAGGGACATCTTGAGTTTTCCTAAGTCTCCAGCCAGGATGGGAGGGTGGGGAAGCCTCACAGGAAAGACTTAGGGAGACATGATAGGTAAAGAATCACAGAAGGGTTAGAGTGGTGGAAGGGACACATTAGCTCAGCAGACATCCAGTATCAATGCACTTGAGATCCTGAGGGGACTGAAAACCCACACAGCTCTGTCTGCCCTGCAGGCTGGACGGGGAGAGGAGGCCTGCTGGCTCCCCACGTGCTGGCTGGGTGCTCTTGGGCAAAAACTGCAGCTTTCTCGTCTGCAAAAGGAGATTAGAAAAGCAAGTGTCTTACAGGATTGTTGCAAACAGGTGCATGGGAATAGACCCATCAGGAGGTCAGAAGCATGCCAGTCGGAGCACCCACATTGCTATCAGTATGTTGGCAGTATTATCTCATAGTTCTGGGGTTAGAATTTGGGGAAGCGAGTGATGAGAGGGAAGACTGACAGGTGAAAGCGAGGGAGAAAACTAGCCTGGGGAGTTACTGTCCTAAGTGTTAGCTTCTGTAGAGCCAGTCGCCTGCAAAACAAGGGGACAAACATTCATGCAGTGACCCGCTGCAGCTTCTGTCTGGCCCACGCTTCTGACCATTCTTCTATGCATTTTCTTCCCTGAGACTGAAATACTCATAACCCCTAATATCTTCTTCTGTATAGAAAAAGGCCTTTTCAAGCCACCCCTGGATACAAAGCTGTGTCACCCAAAGGGCAAAGCCTGCATTTCTGACAGAGAAGGCCAGAGGCGGCGCCAGCATCCAGCCGTCTCCATCTTTCCCTCCTCTGCACTGAATGCAGGATATCTTGCTGCTTCATTTACATCCCCGGCGAATACAGTTCTGATCTGGTGAGCTACACAATCTCCTCCCTCGGTACTCTTTCCCTCGAATCTGTAGCCGAACCTCCTAATCTGCACCCATCCTTTGTCTGCCCCCAGCTCAAAGATTTCAGGACGCCCTTCCCGACTCCCGACCCGAAGAACCCCCGCATCCAGGATGGGTCTCAAGAGGTTGAGCCGGCTTCAGCACGGGACTCACCAGGGGGCTGGAGCCTGCGGCAGGTCTGGGTCTCGCTGGGGGTCGAGCTGGAGCAGCGATCCTGGTCTTTGGTGCGTCACCTCCGCATCTTAGCTCCGCCCCGGCCCCTCCTCCAGCAGGTGGGAGCCACCCGGCAAGCACTCCCCAGAAAGCCCCCAGATGCTGGTGCCTCCTGCCACGAGCTACTCGGCATTCAATCCACGCATTCCACATGCTCATCTCCTACAGATCCTCCGCTCCACCGACCCCTTGTCTCAAGCAAGTATCTAAACAGTGTGCCAGGTCGCCACTGTGTACTTTGCGCCTGATAGCCCATCTTTAATCCTGCCACCTTCCAGCATTTTGTTTTTTTAAGTCTTTCAGCTTTAAGAGGAAAGAGGAAATGAGACAATGGTAGGAGAAACAAAAAATGAAGAGATCCTAAGAACATTTAGTGATGGCAATTACAGGGCATATCCTAAGGGTGTTTTCAGAAGCTCTTTCATTGAGCAGGGAAACTGAGGCTATTAAATATTACAAAATGCTAGCAACTTCTATTAAAGTAAAACACCCCAAATATGGGAACACCTCTAGGAATATGAGTTCTGAGTGTTAATTTTCAACGTCCACACCAACTTACCCAACAAAATTCCTTTGGCTTCGAGAAACCATACTCCCAGCACACTGCAGAAATTCATCTGGGTAGACCCAGAATTTTAAGTTTTTATAGAGTGAACTTGTGCATTTGAGTTTTGTCCAAACCCAAAAACTGAAATGTAAAACTGCACAATGTAGTATTGCAAATTTCCTTTAAGACTGGAGATGACTCCAGTACCTGGGGGTGACAATAACTGAGTAACTCGAGGTTAGGAACCCAGTTGCCTCAACCCAGCTCTACGCAGCAAACCTGTGGGCACCCACAGCAATCGTATGCAACGCAGAGGCGCACGGAAATTCACTGCCACATGCGGCCTGGGTTTGAGGCCAAGCTTCCTTCCTAGCCTTTTCTCCCATGGATGCTCTTCTGTTTCCAACTTTTGTTTCAGGCTTTGCTCAAGCAACAGTGCAGTCTGTTTGGTTCTAGGTTCAAAGGCCATGCTGGGGCTTAATATTATTATGCACACATGATTTTTTTTCAATTCTGAACTTTACTTTCACATTGCTCACTGTTACCTTCATTTTGAGCTTGGAAAAATGGAAGAGTCGTGAAAATTTACTGCTGTTGTGATAAATGGAAATTTGGTTGAAATACACCAAAATGTGAATGCTGTGTATGAAATATTTTAAAAACATCTACCATATGTATCTTGGACTTGATAATTATGAAAATCCTATATTAAATTTATATTCCTAATTTAGTTCTATGTAGTTGTATTGTTTCTCATAATATGCAAATTAATATTTTTACTCATAAGAACAGTGAAAGTAATCTTTTAAGTTTACTGCACATATCCAGACACTTTTTACCCTTGTTAATGCTTATCATTTGATCAAGTATCCCCATAGTTTAGGAACATTATCTATTTTGTGTAAAAAAAAATGGAAATGTAAATTAAATCAAGTCTAAAACTTAACTTTCTTGACTTCCTCCAATTACCATACCACCAAGCTATTCACTTTCAGCTAATGAAAATGAGAATGACGTATGGATATATTTTTTTAAATAAGTATCACTCATTATTGATTCTTCTCTCAGAAAAGCCACTAATTCAGGTAATTTATACTGTTAATTTCCCATGTCTTCTTTCTAAATTAGTCTTCCAATTCAACATTTTGCCCATCCGCGTGGATATAAAAGGACATTAATGAATTTTGGGGTTTAAAAAAATTTGTTTCAGAAAGACAACATATCTCAAAGCTTATGAATATTTTCTACCTCTACCATTAAATACCATAAACATCTGAAATGCATACCCAGCCAACACTACAAACCTGTTTTGATGTCAGATAAACACCATGTTATATGTCAATTACTTACTAGTTCAGAGAAAGGGTTCATTCCTAGGTAATGAATATAGAGACTGGAAATGTCTTTGAAATAAGAGATGTCTTGCTGCCATGTAGAACTTGGCAAACATCTGATGACTCTGAGGTCCTCATACACACACACAACGAAGTCTGGTTGCTCTGAGTGGGTGTGCAATGCTGTTCTATTCTGCCCCCACATCTGAATGTGATATTCTAACAGCTGACCCACAAAACTGTTTTCAGTGGTTGATTCTGCCTGCATATTCCTTCCTGTAAAACTCAGAGTATCTATTTCTTCCTTAAAGATTTGTAATTTCTAATAATCTGAAATATAAACAGTTTTACTTGACAATTTGCATCAAATTCTAAAAGGTATTTTGAATTTCATTAGAGTCTCAGGCAAGTAATTTTTCAGGAAGTTATCTTTAATGTCTATGCTAAATAAATAACATGTATACACAAGACAAAACCACCATTGGCTTTTATAAAAATCCAAAGTACAACAATCCAAGGAAAATGTGGAGGTGGATCAACTCTTTCAAAGTCTAGAATCGAGCATCTGCATGTAAATCACCTTGATTAATTTTTTCAAGCTTAATTATTCCTCATTCTTAAATTCTACATGGGGCAAAACAGATATAAATGTATTTGTGCAAATTAACTTTAAAAATACAGTATGGCTTACAAGTCATCAGTCGTTCCTGCAGCATCATACTACATAAGCACACTTCAGTCACTACTCTACTTTAGCCATTACTCTGAAGGGACACCCTGTATGCATCTACAGGCAACAGAAACCTCACTACTTTGTCCCAAAGAGGAATGAAGGATTAAGATGCTATTGAAACAAGTTAATTTCTAGGTGTGTGGGTAAAGGAAATAAACATTAATATAATTCAAGAAATAAAATTTGTGCCCTGGCCAGTGTGGCTCAGTTGGTTGGAGCATTGTCCTGTAAACTAGGTTGTGGGTTTGATTCCCAGTCAGGGCATAAGCCTGGGTTGCGGATTCCGTCCTGTTGGGGCTCATACAAGAAGCAACCGATCAATGTCTCTCCCCCACTCTTCTCTCTAAACTCAATAAGCATGTCCTCTGATGAGAATTAAAAAAAAAAGATTTGCAAGGCTTATCTATTCCCTTTATATGTTAGAACTGTCTTGTAAAAATATTATGTGACTTAGGAGGAATAACAGGAAATAGACACAACTTATTCTATTCTTCCTATCACACTTTAAGAAATAAAATTCATGCAATTTAAAAAACGCAATTTTTTATAAACCCAGTCAACAATTTCTCTTAAAAAGTATAACCAGTTTTAAGAGATCACAATAAAATTAAAAAATTTTAAATATTGCCATAATCAAGGAAAACAAAGTAGTCATTTATACAAACACAAGAATGTAAGTTGCTTGTGCAGTGAAATTAAAAATCTGGCCCCGGTTGGTGTGGCACAGTGGATTGAGTGCCTGCCTGAGAATCAAAGGGTCACCAGCAGTTCAATTCTCAGTCACAGCACATGCCTGGGTTGCAGGTCAGGTCCCCAGGGGGACCTGGGGGCATGCAAGAGGCAACTATACACTGATTTTTCTCTCCCTCTTTCTTCCTCCCCCCTCTAAAAATAAATAACATCTTTAAAAAATAAAAAAATCTATCATGTATCATCCTGAGCTACAAAATGACAAGATTACTTTGCAAGCACATCACTAACAGCTGATTTTATTTACATTAATGACAAGCATAACATTCACCAATTACAAGTCTACAGGTTTACTTGTTGGTAATAGTTGAACTTTTCCTAAAGGATTTTTGGGAGAACCTTTATATAAGACCCTTTCTTTTTCTGACAGTTTCCTAAGGACCCTGTTATTTATCCCAGAATAAGAGCCCACGTTATTATTTACAGTAGGTTTTAATACAGCATGATTTGTCAGATCCTCCAAGGGAACCTTAATCTGGCCTTCAGATATCACTTTCTCTGTAAAAACTCTGGTTGACCCAGGAAAAACATGCATGGAGTCTGGGTGCCTCTTCATCTGTGGGAAAGATTTAGAAGTTAATTCCATGCTTGACTTTGAAACTGCCTCAACAGTTGACTGCTTCCGTGATACAGACTTCCGTTCTCTTGGACCTGCTTGAGTACACGAAATCAAGGAATCTTTTGATGTACTTTCTACACAAGAGGCAAAAGCACCATCACAGCTCACTGCTTTAACCAGAGGAGAAGCGGCATCATCAAGATGTGCCGATTTATGCCTTATAGGTTGTCTGTTATACTCCAACAAAGTACTAATTCTTCTGACAGACTGACGGACAGGCGTGCACTGCAACTTCAGAGGTGATTTAACTTTTGTCCTATTTGGTTCATTTAAAGAAAGCTTATTAAACCACTGTATGTGGTCTGAAACCTTACCCTGCACTGTTACTTGTACACCTTTATAAACTGTTGTGTCACATGTTTCCACTAGTGAGAGTTGCTTAACCACTCTCACGGGCCTAGGTTTTGACAACTGGGTTATATTATATGCAATTCGCTCTGAGGAAGAGGTGTTAGCTGCATCCTCTCTAGAAGCTGTGCATTTCGGTAAGTTCTCTTCCATCATATTCTCCTCCTTCAATTTAGTAATTAGTTCATCCACTGGGGACTGTTGTGTTTTTATTTGTTCATCACTGGGCAATTCTTGCTTGCTTAAATAATTATTTGGTATATCTGAATGAATGCTTCTGTCATGTTCCACCTTCACCTCAGTTGAGGAACATTTTACAGTTGCTTCTCTACCTAACTTTTTTTTAATTTCATGCAGTGAAAAGTCTCTTTCTGAAACACTGTTTTCACTTTTATTAGTGTGGTGTTCACTTGATTCTATTATAGTCAAATTATTAGTTTTGAAGAGAGTTTTCCCTGGGCTACCTGCTATAGAAGATATTTCATTTAATTTTTCTTTCCGCACATCAGTTATTGATGACTGCCTGTGATTGATCAATGAGTGAAGATTACTTCCAGATTCAGAAAATGCTTTCTGAATTTTCACCAAAGTCTCTGTACTCAAATTATTTTCATCCCCACTAAGAGAGTTTGCGGTTATGTTGTTATTATGCTTATTGTGGGCATTAGAAGGGGTCAGTTCATATAAATTAATAGATGACTTTTCCATCATATCAGGCTCCAAAGAGGAGTTTTCCACTTCAAGACTTCCCTCTATCAGAGAAGTTCCATTTGCTTCTATTTCTTGAAAACTTGAATGATTAGGTCCTGCCCAAGACA